TGGAAGACCATCAGATAGCAGATTACTAACTCTTAGGTAAAGTAGCACCTTGAGGCGAGGGGTACAGGAAGAAAAACTGCAGGCTTTACAAGAGAAACAAAAGACTACCACCAAGCACACAAAAACCCACCAAAGTTTCTTCCAACAGAAGTGTTAACAATTTACATGGCCTGAGATCTTACATGATGGATTTTACCTAAAACTGAAGTGGGGGAAATAACAAAAGAATACAAAGGCAGCATCTGTTTTCCCAAGCAAAGAAAATCATGGGCAACCTCTTGGCCTACTGGTTAAGCAAGCTAGATCCCACACAGTCAACTGAACAGTTTGAATCCCAGCCTTGGCAGCTTGAAAAAACACAGCATGTGTGCATGCACACCCCAAATTCTGACAGGAGGGAGAAATGAAGGAGAAGGGACTGCAGTGTGACCAGGCCACACTGGGGGTGCTCCCTCCCGCTCTGTCTCTCTTGGCAAGTGCACATGCCCTCTGGCTAATTTTTTTTTAAAAAGAAAAATCTTATCTGTCATTAACTGAATATATAATAGTGCAATAAAGGTGTAAATGCCTATAGAAAAAAAAAAACAGAATTAGTCCTACTTCATGCATTTAAAACATTTTCACATATGTCATATTCTGAGGAAGAGGAATGACAAACATTTCAGACCAAATCCCACAGATGCCCAAATCCTAAGTTTGAGGCCATGTACTGGCTTCTGGTTCTCTAAGACTGTATGGCCGTTCCATGTGTATGAGTGAAATCGACAGATGTTTCTAGGTAGAAGCAGCTCAGGAGGTGAGAAGGGTAGTCTGAAAAAGCCATTTTATGAAAAAGGCAATTCCATGGAACATGACACAGGGACATTCTACTAGGTTGAACTGTTCCTTAAATGAGCTCAAAGAATAAGTCATATCTCCATAAAGGGGAGAGGGAGATAATTTTCTGCCAATACCATAAGGTCCAAAAACCTCTAAAATCATACAAAAACCTCTGGGATAAAAAGCATAGAATAGCTCTGGGGCCAGCAGGTGACATGGAGGTTAAGGCACTGGAACCCACATGGCTGACTGCACAGTTTGAGTCCAGGACCTAGCAGCTTAAAAACACATCGGGTGCGTGTACACGCATGCCCAAAATACCAAGAGGAGAATGGAAGAGAAGGGACTGCAGCATGGCCAACACCACTGTAGGGTGATTTCTCACTTTCTCTGTCTTTACCAAGGACACAGCCCCAGGAACCAGCAGTTAGTGTAATGGCTATGTTGCTGGACTCCCATGTAGTATACTGCAGTTCACATCCCGGACCCGGTGGCTTAAAACTCACGCCAGGCGCATGTGTGTGCGTGCCCAAGATCCCGAGAGGAGAATGGAGGAGAAGGGATTGCGGCGTGGGCATCCCCCCTTGGGGGGGGGGGGGTTCCTGCCTTCTGTTCCTCCGGCTCTCTGGCGAGCGCACGGGCCCTATAGCAAAAACCTCTCCAAAAAAAAAAACAAAAACAAAAACCAAGGACACAGCCCCTATAGCAAAACTAAAAAACAATAAAATAAAGTTCCTGCTGCCATCTCTCGTGCTGGAACACTTTATCACTGTAAAGATCCTTTAAGTGGACTATCCTCCTAAATCCCTTTTTAAGACAGGGTCTCATTATGTCACTACCCTCCTCCCTGAGCTTCCAGAGGAGCTGGGACTACACGCATGCACTACAGCACCAGGCTTTCGGAGTGGGCCAGGAATTCAACCAAACCTCCCACGTGGCCTCGGTACACCACCATAGCGGGGTCCTGAGTCCACTTTGATACCAATTGGGTACTTTTTTTTATCTCAGTTCAGTTTCCATCCTGTTGATGTTGCTAACCAGTCCAAGACCAAGAATGAGAAATGGATTTAAGACTCTTGGTAACTAAAGTTGCATATCACAAAGGTGTGTTGATTTTTCCCTTTATGAGAGACAGAGAGAGAGTGTAAGAGAGAAATGGAGGGAGAGATTTTTTTTTTCCCCACAAGGTCTCACCATGTTATAATGCTCTTGCCTAGGAATTGAACCTGGACTTCATATGTGGCTTCCAGCCTCCCAAGCAGCGTGCTACCTGTACACCACCACGGCTGGGCCACAAGTGGTATTTTTAAAATTGGCCTATCATTTCTGTTTCCTGAGGTACTATTTCCCTAAATGTTTGCTTCTCTGATGATATGAGTTCACGAAGGCTGGATGACTGATAGTAGAGTCTAACAAGGCCTTAGGTCAGAAAGCAACATAAAATAAACATGCCCTTTAGAATTTTTATCAATGTGATGCTGAAGATTAGAACTTCCGCACATAAACAATATCGTATAAAGAAAAAGAAAAAAATTATGAATTATATGTGATTAGATGTCAACAACTTCTCAGAGGACCAGTTCAACTTCACTAAGATTAGAATATTTTCAGGGCCAGCAGGTAGCATAGTGGTTTAAAGTGCTGGACTCCCAAATGGCTTACTGCGGTTCAAGTCTCAGATCTGGTGGTTGGAAACATGTGAGTATGTGTGAATTCAGGCCCAAAACCTCGAGAGGAGAATGGAGAAGGACGATTGTGGCATGGCCATCCACCTGGGGGTGATTTCTCACTTTCCCTCTCTCTCTAGGTGAGCACATGTGCCCTATGGTAAAAAAAAAAAAAAAAAAAAAACTTAAAAAAAAATGAAGAAAGAGATTAGAGTATTTCCAAATGCAAAGATGGAGCCAGTGGTAGCACAGTGGAGCACAACTGGATCCATGGGAGAAGAGACCTAGGGTTCGTACCCAGGACCTCCTAGAGCATGTCAGGTATATGCCTATGGTCCAGGCCAAATCACACTGCGGGGAGATCGCAGCAGGCAGACTGTGTTGGGGATACGTATCTCTCAATCCCTCTCACTTATAGAAAAAATAAATTTAAAAACGTGAAACAGATGATCACAAGTATTATTAAAATTCAAAAGTGTACATGAATCAGCGGTCAATTCAATGTACCCGAAGGCACAGATCCCTACTGCGATATACGGTCTAACTACTTCAAGTTGGGCTCTAAAACTGTTCAAAGATAAACGGCTACGGATGGCTCGGAAATAAGCTGGCGTACAGTTACAGAGACCGACGTGAAGCAGCGAGGACAAGTCGCGAACACTAACCCAGCTTCTAGTTACCTCCTTATTCCAAGGAATACAAACTCTCTTCAACACACTTACCCACATTCAGAACAGAATCTGATTCCAGCACTCTAATCAACAAACATCTAGCAAAATAGGGTAAATACTACGAGGTAATGGGAAAAGTACTAAAGTAACAGTCTGAATGGTTTTGTTCATCCTGAGTTTTCTTAACTAAGAGTTCATTTTTAATGAAAAGTAAAACACATTTTCAAAGGAGGTTTTTTCTTTCCCCAAAAACCAATTTGACAGCTTATGAACTATATTAAACTAGACCAAAGATGTTAATTGTTATAAAATGAACCTCATTACTTCTGAGAAACACCACCTTCACAAATGTTGGGCCAGTTCAGGTGCTGCCAACAGATATGATAGAGTGATGTGTCCGGATCCTGGGAACACTCCACTGTCCCAAGATGATTCAGCCCTAAGGCAGACAGGCCACAGTCTGCAGGGCTGCCCCTCGCCAACCACTGGCCACCATCCCAGTCCATGCTGAGCAAGAAACTGCTCAAGGCCATGTGTGCTGCCTTCCTCAGGCTTCCCAAGCCGGATGAAGGGCATGTGCGTATCAGCCAGACTTACACTCGCACGTACTACACACTCAGCTTAGATGGAGTACTGTTACTCGTCCTCTGCTACCAGATGAGTTTCATTTGGTAATAGACGTACCCTTAGGTACAGCATGGACATGGCACAGGAGGACTGGGGTCCAGCTTGGCCCCAACTCTGAACTTAGATCAGTGACCAAATCACTTGGCCTTAGTTTTCTCCTGTAAAAACACAGATGGACATAAACTCTGCTCTCACTATCCACTCTTGAACCTATGGAACTTCAGACTACAAGCATGAGCAGTGTTCATCCATACTGACAGGGCAGCACCAACACCACGCCCCAGACTGCAACTTCTTGGGGATGTCAGACCCCGTCATAGTCACACACAGCAAGTAGTTCTGGGTTCTCTCACCACGGCTTTCTACGGTTCCTCCAGTCTTCAAAAGAGCCTTGAAATAATCCACCTTTGGACCCAGCTCTTAATCTTCTATGAGAGTGCATGCTTAAAATAGCTTTAAATAGTATGTAAATCTAAACCATTGTTCTTTCTTCCATAAGAAGTTGGAGATGAGACTACCAGAGGCTGTTCTACTGCACCACTGGTAGACCCACCCCAGAATTACACCACTTGGAAGCAGCTTGCACAGCAAGAGCTCTACAGAGATCCATATTCCCCACCACACACATACAAATTACCATCTTTAAAAAAAAAAAAAAAAAAAAAAAGCCAGTTTCCCCATTAAAGGGTTTTTTTTTGCGCAACAAAGAAAAAATTCTTCTCCAAAATGAGTCTCCTGATACAAAAGGGTTTGCTTTATGGAGAGGATGTAGTTTGCACCTTCCACAGGTGTGCTCTGAAGGCCCCCACTGAAACATATTGCATCACAGATGAGGGAAAAGACTTGGTTAATTCTTATTATCAAAAGCTAGTCTTCAGAACATCCCAGGCCAACCTGGCTTCCAAAGCCCCAAGAGTTCTCTTAGATTGTCCTTAGGAATCCCCAGGCCTGAGGCCCCAGCCGAAGAGCTGCCAGTGCACCTGAGCCATGTCCTAGGCCATTTGGGCACGTGTGTCACAGACTCGTCTCTTCACATACTCTGACAGGGAAAAAGCCAGTTTCCCCATTAGAGAGTTTTGCTTTGAGACACAAAGAACAAATTCTTCTCCAAAATGAGTCTCCTGATACAAAAGGGTTTGCTTTATGGAGAGGATGTAGTTTGCACCTTCCACAGGTGTGCTCTGAAGGCCCCCACTGAAACATATTGCATCACAGATGAGGGAAAAGACTTGGTTAATTCTTATTATCAAAAGCTAGTCTTCAGAACATCCCAGGCCAACCTGGCTTCCAAAGACCCAAGAGTTCTCTTAGATTGTCCTTAGGAATCCCCAGGCCTGAGGCCCCAGCCGAAGAGCTGCCAGTGCACCTGAGCCATGTCCTAGGCCATTTGGGCACGTGTGTCACAGACTCGTCTCTTCACATACTCTGACAGGGATGTTGTAGTGCCGATCGTCCTCGGCGATGAGCGTCACCACTGGCCAGTCCTTGGGTGGGTCAGTAGGGTAGACTGTGACGAACTCTTCAGTGTTGTACTTGGAGAGCCGGTATACCTGGATTGTATGGCGCACAGCGTAGGCAAGAAGGAACATCTCAACCTGGAAGGAAAAGGGCAAATGTGTGTTCTGAGGGAAACCACAATGAAAGATGTGGCTTAACGCCTTGCCCCATCCATAATCCCAGACAGTGCAAATGCTAAGCAAGCCTTTTCTCCTCCCCTGTGGGCCTAGCCCCAGTCCTCACCTACATGAGAAAAGCAGATCATCAAGAATGGATCATATGTCTGATAAGGAAACGATATCCAGAAAACCCAAAGATCTCTTACAACACAACACTTTACAAGTAAAACAAATAGCCAGTTTAAAAACTGGGCAAAGGTAGGTCAGCAGGTAGGTCAGCAGGTAGCGTGGAGGTCAGGTGGCTAGATCACACATAGGTACTCTATGGTTTGAGTCCCGGACCTGGAGGTTTGAAAATCATGCAACGCAGGGCCAGCAGGTGTCATGGTGGTTAAGGGCACTAGACTCCACATAGCTGACCACGGTTCAAGTCTTGGACCTGAAAGGCTTGCTTTCTCTCTCTGTTCCTCTCTGGTCAAATTAAAAATAAATAAAGTTAAATTAAATAATTCTTAAAAAAAAAAAAAAAAGAAAATATCAAAGAAAATTATACTGTGCACATGTATGTGCATGCCCAAAATCCAGAGAGGAGAATGGAAAAGAAGGGATTGTGGCATGGCCATTCCCCCAGGGGGGTGATTTCTCACCTTCCCCCTCTCTGTCTCTTCAGTGAGCACATGCATCCTACAGCAAAAATCTAAAACAAAACAAAAATATTAAACAAAGGATTTAAATACATATATTTTCCAAAGAAAATATATGGCTAACAAGTATAGGAAAAGATGTTAAAAATTGTAAGTCATATAAGAAATGCAAATCGAAACCATGATGAACTACTACTTCACACTCATTAGAATGGCTATAATCAATAAGATAATGAAGAGTAACTGCTTAATAAGGATGGGTTTCCTTTGGGGTAATGAAACATTTTGAGACTATCCATTTGGAAGTCATGCAACACTGTAAATGTATTATCAGTGAGTTGAACACTTTAAAACGGTTAATTTTATGTTATATGAACTTCACCTTAATTTTTATTTTTTTGTCTCAATTTTTCAAAAAAAGACCATAATCAGTGTTACTGAAGATGTGGAAAAGTGGAGAGACTCTGATACCTCGCTGGTAAAAAAGTACTGGTGCTGGGGTCGACAGGTGGCGTGGTGGTTAAGGGCACTGGACTCCCACATGGCCGACTGCAGTTTGAGTCCTGGACCTGGTGCCTTCTTTTCTCACTTTCTCTCTCTCTCTCTCTCTCTCACTCTGTCCCTCTCTGGTCAAAATTAAAAATAAATGAAGTTAAATAAAATAATTCTTTAAAAAAAAATGTACTGGTGCAACTGCTTTAAAAAACAGTTTGGCAGCTCTTCAAAATGTTAAATTACCACATGATCCAGCAGTTCCACTGCTAGGTATATATAAACCCAAGAAAACAAAAAATATATATCCACACACACACACACACACACACACACACTGCACACAAATGTTCATAGCAGAATTTACTCATAGTAACTAAAAGGTAGAACAAGCCAAATATTCATCGAATGGATAATGGATGAATAAAATATGATATATCTATGGTGGGATACAGTCACTAAAAGGGAAGGAAGCACTGATACATGCTGCAAAATGGATGAACCTTAAAAACATGCTAAACAAAAGAAGCCAGCCACAGAAGACCACATATTACATGACTCCATTTATACGCAGCTGGCGTAATGGCTATGTTGCTGGACTCCCAGGTAGTTGACTACGGTTCAAATGCCAGACCCAGTGGCTTAAACTCATGCCGGGCGCGTGTGCGTGTGTGCCCAAAATCCCGAGAGGAGAATGGAGGAGAAGGGATTGCGGTGTGGCCATCCCCCCTGGGGGGGTGATTTCTCGCTTTCTGTCTCTCTGTCTCTGTCTGTCTTTCTGGTGAGTGCACATGCCCTATAGCAAAAATCTCTCCAAAAAAAAGAACCTTGTGGGATGATAAAATGGCCTAAAATTAAACTGTAATGATGGTTGCAAAACTTTAAAAAGATGTGTTTTATGGTATGTAAATTACAATTCAAAAAAGCAGCTATTAAAAAAAAGAATGGACACATTACAGAAGACCCTGATAAGAAGATCTCAGAACTAACTTCAGTCTACTAAGCAATCCATGTTCTACTAGGCTTTTCACTATTATAGTTCAGAAATATAATTAACCCACTTTATGTGGACAGATTAAATTTTTTATTCATTTATTTTTGTCCATGAGAGTTAAGAGAAAAGAGAAAGACCAAGAAACAGGGCACCCCCATGCCATAATCCACCTCCAGCCTGAGGCAGTCCAGATCACAGACAGGCTCAGTATGCTCAGGGATCCCAGAACATGAAACCGGGACCTTTTCCATATGAGTTCAGTTCTCATACGACTGCACCACTGCCTGGCTCCAACAGGCGATTTCTGAAAAGAATTTATCATCCATCCTGCCTGACTCTGCAGTAACCAACAGCCTTCACTC